TATTATCATTATTATTATTATGATAGACTAAAGCGGGGAAAAATTATAATTTCGGATTTACAGCCTTCACTGAACCCATTAATAAAAAAGATTTTCCTCAAAACACCACAGTTTAGCGTACGTCTGATTTAACACGGTCCAACAGTTGGGGTGAGTACTTTTGAGACTCACGTGGAGCACGTGGAGACGTCTAGACAGCCGGGGGATGAAATCTTCAAGCTTACACTGAAATGTGGGGGCAGGGTGGTGTCGCTGTCTCAAAATGAGCAATTTGTAGACAAGGTTACTAACTACAAGTAAGTTATTTATTTTAGTGACCCTGTGTACGCATTCAAAGACCGTTTTTTTATAGGACCCAAATTGAAAAAAAACACCTTTTTTGTTACTTAAAAAAAATGTTTAGTCGCTGGCCCGCTGAAGAGCCATGAAAAGTTTCAAGGGTGTCGATAAATGATTAATAAAATAAATGAGCCAGATTTTTAAAACCGTGAACTCGTTATAAGCATTCATGTACTGTCGTTCCTGCCCTAATAGCCTACTGTCTGAAACCATCACTTGTACAAACTGTACGCTCTTCCCACTTCCATCCTTTACGTTTTTTTGTGGTTTTTTTTTTACCATTGTCAAAACACTCCCCAAGACTGCTTTGACCTGTCTAAGACAACCACTTTCTCCACAAGAAATGAATCTCTCCGGGGCCACCGCCTCCTAAGCTGTTGTAAAAATTGTTGTTGTTGCTGTTGCTGCTGCTGCTATTGTTGTTGTTGTTGTTGTTGTTGTTGTTGTTGTTGTTGTTGTTGTTGCTGTTGTTGTTGTTGTTATTGTTGTTAAACCATTATTTTTTTCTTCAGACTTGATCTCGGTCTCGGAACTGTTCAGTTCATTCCATAAACGTGAGTGGTTGGCGGGTGATCTGGTGTGGTTTCTTCTTTCCTATCAAACATGTATCGTCCTTATTTCTCCTCCTTCTTACCTATAAAAAATATATCGTCTTTATCTCTCCTCCTTCTTTCCTATCAAACATCTATCGTCCTTATCTCTCCTCCTTCTTTCCTATCAAACATGTATCGTCCTTATCTCTCCTCCTTCTTTCCCATCAAACATGTATCGTCCTTATCTCTCCTCCTTCTTTCCTATCAAACATCTATCGTCCTTATCTCTCCTTCTTTTTGTGTAGGTTACTCTCTTGTAACACCTCTATTCTTCAGCACCTATACAACCTAAGTATTGTGTTACAAGTGCCGTAAAGCACTTACTAAAACTAAAATACCTTAACTGAATAGCGGCACACAGACACCCCGGCTCATCAGAAAGTGTATGATGTATGACTCTGTGTGGCACAGCTATGGCAAACGTCACCTTACGAAAAAGCTAAGGCGCTCAGTGCGCATTGCATGGGAACAACCACAGTTGGTGAGTGGTTGCTGGGTGCTCTGGTAGTACGTGTAGTTTGCTCCTTTCGCGCGTCATTTTTCCGTTCTACTTTTCTGGATACGTTACTTTCCTGTGACAAGTCTTTGGCTGGTAGGTACGTGATCTGGTGACCTTTCCTTGCATGACCTTGGGGTTTTTTTTGCCCCCCCCCCCCTTGCCGAGGGATGTTGAAAAGAGAGGGAGGGATAGGGATTGAGATAATGAGACAGGGAATTTGTGATGCTCGAGGAGAGATAACAAGGCTAAAACAGCACCTGGCCTTGGATGGCTGGTGTCTCTATAAATAAATTATTGATGGTCAAGGGTGGA